TCTTTTTTTCCCAAAAAAATAATAATTTTTTTTTTTTTTTTTTTTTTTTTTTTAATGCCAAGGAGCTTGGATAGGTCCCAAATTACAAACGAATTCTCAAACAGTGTAACAGGTCTTTGGGGTTTTCTGCGAAGCTCTGGATGGCCTTGCTTCCCAAAACACTCAGTGAATACCAGAGGAACCTCAGGATAAGTTGGTGATGGCCCTAAAATGGGAATCGAAACAACTTCCTCTTTGGACACATGTTCATTAACAACATCTCGGCAGCATCCTGGAAGTTTTCCAAATCATAGGCAGTCAGGAAATTCAGGATCTTATTCATTTTCCCCAGAAGGACCTGGATCTTCTGGGCCGTTGGGCTGGGATCCACCTCCAGGATTGGTTTCTTCTTCATTTTACTCAGCATGTCTGGGATTATGAACTGTGGGGATTCACAGAGGAGAGGTGAGGACCAAGGCAGCCCAGGCACTGTGCTCCTACCTCCCAGATCAGACTCCTTACTCCATGATTGAATCTTTCCTCGGAGCTCTACCCCTGAGGGCAAAGCTCTTCTCCCAGCCCTACCAACTGCCACCTTTCTTCTGTCTCCCGAAATACACTCACTTACTGGTGCTTATGGACTATGGTGACGTGAGCTGAGGCCACACCCAAGGCTGACCCACCAGAGAGAAACCAGCACTTGCATGCTCGCATAGCCTTCCTTCCAAAGGCTGTGCTGTCCTGGGGTATTGTGCGTCTCACCCACGGGGCCCCTCCATGGGCTGGATGACCTCACAGTGTTTGCCTGTCTGCCCCACCACCCCCTTGGGCTCCTTGGAGTGTATCTGGGATTTGTTGAGGTGATGTTTTGCCCTGGTGAGGCCACATCTATGTCAAAGTTTGTCTTGGTTTAATAGCCTATAGAAGGCCAAGAAAAGAGCCTGTTGGAAGAGGAATGATAAAGGATAATGCCAATATGTTCCATTTCTATGAAATATCTTCACATCAAGGGTCTTACTGACGCTGTACCAGAGCCCATGTCCATTGTACAGAGACCACAGGCTCAGACAGTAGAAGTAGAGGGTCCGGGCATGGAAGAGCATGCTCTTCTTGGGATTTCCTGCAGTCACTGCCTGGCTGTCTGCTTCCTGTCTCTCTGGCTGGTCACATCTGTGCTGCTCTGCTTCATTTGGGATCTACCCTGCCCTGGTGCAGCTCCCCTCTGTGCCCCAGCTTTCCAGGGCCATCAGGCCTCCTGGGCTCTGCCCATGCTGGCCCTTCACCGGCCCTTTCTGGGTACGGTCTTCCTTTCCTGGCCTCTCTTGCTCAGGGGAACCTCATGGCTATTCAAAGACTGGTACCCCAGGCCCTCATGCCCTCTACAGCCCCGGCTGCCACTTTTAGCAAGCCACCATGTGGCAGGAGTGCAAATAGGTGGCTCAGGAGCAGTGTGCTAGCCTTGTTCCCTCTCTACTAGGTTAATTGTTCTGAGAAACCCAGGGCAGGCAAGGTCGTTGGGCTGTGGTCATTCAGCCTGCGAGATAGCAGGCCTTGCCATCAAGAGAACCCAGGGCGACCAGCTGGCCAGGCCTGCTAAAACTTGCCCAGCTGGAGCACTCCAAGTCCCATTCCTGAAAACCCACTCAGTCCTGGGCAAACTGGGTGGCTGAGCACCCTAAAACACTACCTTCATTCTTCTCCTCTCATACATAATTCTCATACAGCTTAATTCACCAGAGTCTGCTATTTGGCTGCTTCCTCCACAGCCCACATGCCCAGCTGCCTTACGCCCGAGAGGCAAGTCTGTCTGTCTGTCTGTCTATCTCCTCTGGTAGACCTGTTTCCAGAGTGCCTCTCTGGCAGGGTCTGTGAACCGAGTCTTCGTAGAGTCTTGTTTAGGTCTTACCAGTGGCAATGATGACTCCCTTATATTTCTTCATGACTCTGGATCTCAGAAAGGTCTCAAGAGCCCAATTCCTTCCCTGACTGCAGTCAGAACTCCAGGGAGTCCAGACTCACCATTTGTAGTGGGATGAACTGTGACATCCAAGATATGGCCACACCCTACCCCCCAGTGCTTGTACCTGCCCCCTTACTGGGATATAGGGCCCATGCCATTAAGGATCTCAGGAAAAGACCATTCCGGATTCAGGGTGGGCCAAGGAAGGATCTCTATTAGAGCCTTCAGAGGAGGCCCCACCTTAATTTCAGACTTTCAGCCTCCGGAACTTGCAGAAATAAACTACTGCTGTTTCAAGCGCCCCGTTTCTGGAAGCTCTAGGGAATGAGTGTGCTGTTGCTACCTTCCTCCCACCTAGGTGGTGTGCCCAGACATCTGGGTGACCTTCTGTTTTGAGATGGGTATGTTTGGGGAGGAGAGGAGAGGACACCAGAGGCGGGGCTGGGGACATGGATGGGGACATGGAGTTCCCTTGGTGTTTGGCCTACCCACCAACAGGGTTGGTGTGTCACGTGAGATAACGTTTGTACGCATCTTTGTTTCTGTCAGGCTCACAGCTCAGGCGCTTTGGGGTGTCAGTTTCCTCAGAGCCCAATCTCAGCGCTAGAAAGTTACGTGAATGTATTTGTGTATGCTTAAGCATCAGGTAATGAACATGGTCTTCTTTTTCTATGGGATGGCATGATATAGAATGTGGCATGGACAGGCCAAGCCAGCTCGTGGGCAGGTGGGCATCCCACCCCATGGAGGGCCTGGGGCATTGAGACCTTACCTTGTACTTGGTGCCCATGTTTATACAAACTCGCTTTTGGTCGTGCGCGAAGCAGAAGATGATATTATCCTGGCTGTTTATTTGTACCTGGATGTACTGGTTGATTTTCAGGGAGATGGGTTGGATGGGAGGTGCGTGGACGTGGAGGTTCAGATTCCACCAGTTCCAGGCCTTCAGGCGCATGTTGTGGGGGAAGTAGTAGCCCAGGTTGCGGCTCAGGCTCAACCTAGATGGAGGAGGGGCATCGGGCGGCCTCAGTGCTCAGCCCCAGGGCTACGGTGTTAGTTTTCTCCACAGACTTTACTAATTGAGTCAGTTCTTGTTATGTGCGGTAGTCGTGTTCCGTAAAAATCATCCATTTAGTGACAAATGATCCCATAGCTCTTAGGGAAAACATGCAACATACATACGTGCACACACGCACACGTTGACTATCTGTAACTTACTTTAAGTGCTGGCGACCAGAAGTGTTTCAGATTTTGGATATTTTTACATGTTGAAATATTTGCACACACACACACATGTATATGTGTGTATATGCAAATATACATATACATATACATATATTGCACACACACATATATGCATATATACGTATAGGTGTGTATATATGTGTATATATGTATGTGTGCATTTATATGTATATATGTATATAAGTGTGTGTGTATGTGTGGGTGTGGGTGTGTATATATATATATATATATATATATATATATATATGTAAAAAACTATATATATATGGAATGGGAACCAAGTCTAGCACAAAATTCATTAGTTTCATATATACCTTATACATATACCCTGAAGGTAATTTTTTAAAAGTTCATGTATTTATTCATGAGAAAGAGAAGAGAGGTATCCTTGACAGGGCCTTGTTATGATTTCTCCTCAGCCTTCCAGCCGGCCAGGGTCACAAGTACGCTGGCAGTCATCCCGGGTGTGTTCGGGTTGACCTGGGATCCCTCCCACATGGCTCCGGTATTGTTCAGTGATGTCCCACCGCCTACACCAGTGTGACCGGGCCTGAGGGTAGTTTTCTATTATGTTTTTGCACTGCAGTGTTTTGACTGCAACCTACCATACCACCAGCCTGCCTGAAACTTACACATTCGTAAAACTTTTTGACTCTTCTGTAATAATTAGCTTAAAACATAGGCACATTGCATAGCTGCACAGAAAAAGCATATTGCTTTAACCAGTAAACTTTTTTTTTTTTTTAGTAAGTATTAGCTCATCACAAAAGTCCCGACAACCCAATAGGAGGAACACACTCTAAGCAATGAAAGGTCAAATGTGAAATTTTCCACTTGTGTCACGTAGGTGCTCAAAAAGTTTAGGATTTTAGAACATTTTGGATTTTGGATGTTCAGTTTAGGGATGCTCAACCTGCACACACACACACACACACACACCCCTTACATAGATTACTATAATCTTAAATCCTAAAAAGAGCCCTTCCTTGTAGTTTCTATTTTCCTTATTTTACTAAAGAAAAAATGAGTCCCAGAAGTGTTACGTGACTTTCTGAGGCCACGAAAAATCCTAGAGCTGGGCCAAACCTGTCCACGTGGCGCCAGAGCTCCTTGCACTCCACTGCCCCGCCTCCACGTGTCTGTGCTCTGGTCATCTCTAAGAGGCTGAAACCAGTCGCCTTGTCCCACTTCGTCTGAGGACGTGCACATGGGGTAACTCGAAATTTTCATGTTTCTTAGCGTGCCCGTGACCCTGTGTGAGACATGTTTACAGTCTGGAGCTGCCAGACCTCTCGGTCACTGATGGCGTGCACACAGGACAGGCAGTCACAGTCACAGTCCTAACATTGTGGAGCGACAACACTCACGTGTCCGAGCTGACGGTGAAGTACGCAGGTAAGTCACATGGAAGCATAACACACACATCATGTGCAGTACTTGGTACTTCTCAATGAGGATGCATAATTATGTTACCAGGCCACATTTTTACTGTTTCGTGTGTGCTTCTCCTTTTGGGTTGTCAGGACTTTTATGACAAACCAATACTTATAAAAAAGTTTACTGTTAAAGCAATATGCCTTTTCTGTGCAGCTGTGCAATGTGCCTATGTTTTAAGCTAATTATTGTTACAGAAGAGTCAAAAGGTTTTAAAAATTTATAAGTTTAGGGGCCAGAAGGTGGGGTGGTGGTTAAGGTGCTGGACTCCCATATAGCTAACTGTGGTTCAAGTCCTGGACCTGGTGGCTTGCTTTCTCACTTTCCCTTTCTCTCTCTTTGGTCATATTAAATAATCATCATAATAAAACTAAATAAAATGAAGTAATTCTTTAAAAAATTTATAAGTTTATAAAGTAAAAAATGATAGTAAATTAAGTTCAATTTATTATTAAAGAAAAATATGTTTTATGAATTTAGCATGGCCTAAGTGTACAAGGTGTCTGAATCTACAGCGGTGTACAGTAAGATCCTCAGTCTCACATTCACTCACCACTCACTCACTGGTCACCCAGAGCAACGTCTAGTCCTGCAAGGTCCATTCTTGGCAAGTACCCTACAGAGGTGCAGGGCTTTTGATCTCTTATGATGTACTTTGACCATACGTTGTCTATGTTCCGACGCGTTCAGACACACAGACACTGATCATCGTGTTACCGTTTCCTATGCCGCTCGGTGACATGCCCCATGGGTCTGCTGCCTAGGAGCAGGAGGCTATGCCATATGGCCTTGGCGTGTCACAGGCTCTTCCATCTGGGTTTGTATAAATGTACTCTCTGATGTTCACACCACAACGAAATCACCTCATGATGCATTTCCAGAACATGGCCCCCTCTCTAAGCTACGTATGGTGATATAGGGGCACGACTGTATTACTCCTGGGAGCCATCCGTCAGTGGTTAATTCACTGTTCTTGGCCACAGAAGAACTCTAAACTCCCGTAAGTGCCATGCATAGTGAGAATCGGCTGTGTTGTCTACCACCTAGTCTCCCCACGATGCCATCAACTCCTGCGGGGCAGGGGCAACATGCCTGTTACCCTGCCGGGGTCCAGCCGCCCAGGCCTGCGCTGGCATCACATGAGTGGAGAGGGGATGGTTTCTCCCTCCTCTCGCAGGCCCTATGTTCTGTGGATTTGCCTTCCCCTTGAGCCTAACCATGCCATTCGTAAGATGCTTTACCTTGGACCAGTTTCATAACTTTTCTGTACATCAATTTCCTCAACTATAAAATGCAGATAAAGCACTTTACTCACAGGGTTGTGTGAGGATTACATGCCTATATATAAAAAACTCAAAAAGCATTGGAATTTCCTTATTATATTGACAGGGAGGAGGGCATTTGGCAGGAAGCAGATGTCCAGCTGGGTTTATCCCAGTAAATGGCTTTCATTAGTGTTTACGCTAGGCCATACCCCATGTCCAGAATTAAGAGATTGTCCCCTGCCTGGATTTCCCAGCTCTGGATGAAGGCTCCCATTGGAAGATGGGACCTAGAACTCCCAGAAATGGTCGTAATCTGAAGGCTCCTGCTCAGGGAGTGTGAAGATCCTGCTAAGAAGTCAGTAGAACCCACCCATCAAGGACCCCAAATTTAAGCAGATCTGGGGTCCTTAAAGCCTGGTCTAAGACTCTATGGGTGAAGTGAGAGACAGTGCTTGGTTTTAGTTTCTGCATACCCAGAAAATGACAGTCATGCCTTCTGTTGGGTTGTCAGAAAAGTCATGATGCATTTCTGCATAGAAAAGTTATGCCCAGACTTTTCCGACACCTCAATGCTTTCTCTGAGGAAATGGAAATAAAAAAAATGACCCAGGAAATTTGAAGTCCTTGAAACACCTTGGCCCTAAGTTCTTCCCAGTGCCTGAGGCACTATGGAGGAGCTCAGAGTTGAGGCTGCAGACAGAGGAACCAGAGAAGCAGCTGTGGAAATTCCCAGCAGGTAGGGCCAGGGGCCCTGGCCAGGCAGTTTTGCATTCCCAAATGACTTGAGGGTCTTTTCTACAAAATCTTCTCTCAGTGATAGTGAGACTGTAGTTCTGATGAGTCCCTCGGGACTGATCCCTGCCACTGTGGGTCACACTTGACTCTGAAGAAGCAGCCTCTAGGGGAGGAACCAGCCTGGGGTCAGGGAACCCATTTGAGGTGGAGATCTGTCTTTGCGGTATGACTTTTTGGGGATATGGGTGGTGGAGGTACACATGGATGGTCTGTCTGTCATTTAGATGTCTGTGTGCAGGGGACAGGGACCTCTGATGAGACTGAAATGGGACCTTTTTCCTCCTCTACTATGCTTGCTTGATGACCTGTTCAGCACTAGGAAAGATGACAGTGACAACATTTGGAGGTGGTGTCTCCAATGGGAGAAGGAAAAACAGGTAGGGGCTGCCCAGTGGGCAGGCAGAGGGTCAGGTAGGGCAGGGCAAGGCCAAGGTCCCAATCCTGGATGCTGGCCAGTGTCCCATGGACAGGTCCCTACTTGGACCACTTGTTGAGATTCATGAGGTCCACTCCGAGCCAAACTGACTAGCTGATTTAAACAACAGGAAGCTTCCCAGTCTGAGCGGCCCATTTTTCTCCACGGAGAAGGAGCTCAGGATTAGAAGGGGAAGCTGCAGTATACGCATGAGCCATGGTTAGTTAGCATGCTATCTGGAAATCTTGCAAAGGTGAAAAGGCAGCAAGTACTATAAACAGTGGGATGAGAAGTTAGGGACTCATGGACTGGCTTAGAAGGCCTGCAGCCAGAGCAGGGCTGTTTGGACAGAGAGATTCTAAACCACTCTTGGCTGCTGTGCCCCAGGACAGGACTGGGTCATTTCCTCACCAAGTTGAGTCTTTCCCAGGGTCCCAGCAATGACTTGGATGGCACCCACTCCTGACTTGAGGGCTGAGAGGTGTTCCCTGTGTATTTTATTGAGGAGATGCAATGGATTATGTCTTTTTGAGTCTTTACCTTATAGCCCAAGCTGATGGCCTGCCCTGGGGTAAGGGCAGTGATGGGCAGTTGCTGCAGCTTGAGGGCATTGACCACTTTCCACGGCCTTAGCAGTGCCATGGGGGGCATGTCCAGGATGTCCACAGTCAGCTGGCCTGCAGAAACATCTGACAGGGTTTCAAGAGTGCAGAGCTCCAGGCCCCACTCCAGACCTACAGAACCACAATCTTGAGGCAGCAGGGTCAGTCCTTACCCTAGCTATGAGCACCAACTTTTCCTTTGGGTTCCAAAGTGCTGAGACTCAGGGATAAGATGCGATACCTCTTCTTCTTCTTTTTTTTTTTTCCTTTTTTTGGAGAGGTTTTTGCTATAGGGCGCATGCGCTCGCCAGGCCGACAGAGAGAGACAGAGAGACAGAAAGCGAGAAATCACCCCTCAGGGGGGATGGCCATGCCGCAATCCCTTCTCTGTTCTCCTCTCGGGATCTTGGGCATGCACGCACACGTGCCCGGTGTGAGTTTAAGCCACTGGGTCCAGGACTTGAACCATGGTCGACTATGTCTCCAGCGACATAGCCATTATACTAACTGCTGGTCCCTGCGATATCTCTTCTTCACTTTATTTGACAAATTTAAAAATTAAAAAAAAAATTTAGGCTGAGTCAAAATGTCATAAAAATGAGCCGATTCCATGACACGGTGGTAATGTGTTGCTCAAGAAAAGCCCGATCCCGCATAGTGACTGTGGTTCAAATCCCTGGTCCCGTAAGCTTGAAGCATGCTGGGCACGTGCGCCAGCACCCGGGGTCTGACAGACTGGAGGACTGCAGGGAGGGGATCCCGGCATGACCAGACCCTGTGAAGGGCGCTTATCTCTCTGTCCCCCACTTCCTGTCCCCCCATTCTGTATGTATATGCTCTATTATGAATAAATAAAAAAAGGTCATAAAAACTTCTTGCTTGTAACTTAGGGCACTCAGGGAAAGTGACTTATCATATTTTCTGAATCTAAGTTTCTTCATCAATAAAATGAAAGTAATTCCTAGATTTCCTCAAGGTCTCTAAGAGGCCTACTGCCTGTCAACAGATACTGTTTGGGATAATTAACTATCTTGTCACTTCTGCTTTGTGTGTCCCATATCCAGATCCTTTATCCACTTTTTTAGGCAGTCTTTTCTATACAAAGGGCCCTCAGGGAAGAGCAGTTACTTTGGAGAACAAAAAGTCAATCAGGAAATGGTGTTTAAAAAGGCTCATAGCCATGGGACCAGCAGTTAGTGTAATGGCTATGTCGCTGAGCTCCCATGTAGCTGGCCAAGGTTTGAGTCTTGGACCCTGAGGCTTAAACTCACGCTGGGCATTTGTGCGTGCGTGCGCAAGATCCTGAGAGGAGAATGGAGGAGAAGGGATTGCGGTGTGACCATCCCCCCTGGGGGGTGATTTCTCACTTTCTGTCTCTCTGTCTGTCTCTGTCTTTCTGGCAAGTGCATGTGCCCTATAGCAAAAACCTCTCAAAAAAAAAAAAAATAAGCCCATGGCCTGCTGGTGATGTCATGTATAGTATTCTCAACTCACCTGCTGTGTGTCGTATATCATGTTGGGAGAGATCTCTTTACAAACTAAATGATGTGTAATGATTGAGTGTATAAATAATAACAAATAATAATAAAAATTAAGGGAAAAAAGCTCATAGCAGAGATACTATTCCTAAACACCAAGGCCTAGAGAATTAAAATATATTTTTGGAATTAAAAAAAAAAAGGTTCGACTTTGACTATGAAGGAAGACAGTATAAAATTGATCTAAAATAATATGTATCTCTCTTAGAATAGGAGGAAGAGAAAGTCCTTTTTTTTTTCTTTAAAAGTTTTTGTCATAGGGCAGCTCATGGGTGGTGGGGAGGGAAAATGGACAGAGACAGTGAGAGGGAAAATGAGAAATTGCCCCCTAGGGGGGATGCCACGAGCAATCTACAATTGGTTGAATCTATGGGTACAGAAGGCCAATTGTATGTGCACCCCCAGAGCCCTCATCAAATCCTTCTTTCTGAGGCACTGGGTCTTCCTTTTTATTTTTAAAAATTTTATAGAGACTTTTTGCTATAGGGTGGGTGCACTCACTGGAGAGAGAAAACAGAAATAACCCCCCAGGGGAGATGGCCATGCCGCAATCCTTTCTCCTCCATTCTCCTCTCTGATCTTTGGGCATACAGGCACATGCACCTGGTGTGAGTTTTCAGCCCCCGGGTCTGGGAATTGAACTGTGGCTGACTGCATGAGAGTCCAGCGACATAACCACTATGCCACCTGCTGGTCTCGGTACTAGTTCTCTCTAAGGTAATTCTTACAAGGTTTGACTCTGAAGATGAAACCAGTAGAACATGGCCACTGTGAGTTCGTGATTGCTATTTTACCCTTGGGAAAACAGTGATGCAGTATGACGCTGTGCCTTCTCTGGGGCAGGGGCCTATCCTCCTATGCCACCATAGTATCCATTTCCCCCTTTCCAACACATAGGAATCAAGGGAGAGAAGGGAAGAAGGCTGCCCAGACTGGAAATCAACCTTCCACCATACCACTTCTCCTCAACGGGGATGTTGGGGATTCATGACCCAAGCTTACCAGATATCTCTGTCTTCATCATAGAAGGTGGCATGACCAGAGTTATTGACAAGGGCCCGAATCCATGCTTTTCCACTGTCTTCCAGAATGATGTATGTGAAACTTTCAACATTTATGCTGAAGATGAGCATGGCCAGGTTTCCTGATGGATAACTGGGAGGTGGTTAAGGCACAAATAGTCCTTTGGGATACCCAGGGAAAGGCAGGGCCCTGCCTCAGTCCACCCTCAGCCACACTCCAGCCCCAATTCACAGACTTTCCAGGTGTTAATAGGTCCATGTGAGTGTCCCTATACTCCATTGGATACTATATCTGGCCTGTCCCATCAGGAAAGAGAATTTGGAAGATATTTTCATTGCTGTAGAGAATTATTTTTCCATAACCTTGGTGGTCCTGGAAAGAAGAGACAAGCCTATGAAAAATGTAAAAAGTGCACAGGATCTACCATCTTATTCCAGGGTATGGCATGGTCCCTAGAGTGCTTTGACCTCATCTATTTGCTCAAAGTCTTTGCCTACGTGCCACTCCACCCACGACTCCCACCACTTTGCTGAGGATGCTCAGAGCTTCAATTCACTTCTCTATAGCGTGAGGAGGCAGAACTGGATTCATGGTGTATGTGTGTGCTGATGTAGGATGTAGGTTTTAACTAGCATTTCAATCAGATTAATGGTTATTGAGTGTATTCGTTTTCTACGGCTGGGGGGGGAAAAAA